AAATCCGAAACTGTGGCTGTTTTGATTCGCATTCAATACTTGATACTCCAATTTTTAAACATTATTTATTTGAATGTGGGTGTCGCTGGCAAGGCCAGCATTTGTTGCCCATCCCTAATTGTCCTTGAACTGAGAGGCCTGATGGCCCATTTCAGGGAACAGTCGGGAGTCCACCACATTGCTGCGGGTCAGGAGCTGCATGTAGGCCAGACTAGGTAAGGATGACAGATTTCTCCCTAAAGGGCATTTGTGAGCCAGATGGGATTGTTAGAACAATCAATGTTAGTTTCATGGTCTGCATTATTGAGACAAGTTTTAGATATTTATTCCAAATGGATGGATTTATGGGAAGAAGAAGCTAATCAAGATGGACTGTGCAGAAGAGAATAATTTTTCCAGTAACAGCACTTGCATGCTTTTGGTGGTGTTGGGAGCATATAAATATGGTTTCAATCCATTAAGAGAGCCCAGTTTTAATCTGTTGAAGTTAAATTCCGTCAGCTGGCGTCATATCACTAGCCTACGCCTGGATTACTAGCTCAGTGATACTATTACTGGGCCACCATCACCTCCCAATGCTTTTCTTCTCTTTAAAGGGATTACAGGTTGAGAATTCTTTATCAAGATTTTAGAGTCCATTATTAAGGATCAGATTGTGGACTACTTGGAAGTGCATGGTGAAATAGGGCGAAGTCAGTACGGCTTCATGAAGGGGAGGTCATGCTTTACAAATCTATTAGCATTCTTTGAGGAGGTAACAAGCAAGTTGGACAGGGGAGAGACAGTGGACATGATCTGTTTTGATTTCCACGTGCCACACAGGAGGCTGCTAAATAAGATAAGAGCCCATGGTGTTAGGGGCAAGGTACTGGCATGAATAGAGGATTGGCTGACTGACAGAAGGCAGAGGATGGGGATAAAGAGGTTTTTTTTTTAAGGATGGTAGCCAATGACTAGTGGAGTTCTGCAGGGGTCAGTGTTGGGACCACACCTATTCACGTTATACATAAATAATCTGGATGAAGGAACTGAGGACATTATTGGTAAGTTTGCAGATGACACAAAATGGAGGAACAGGTAGTGTTGAGGAAGCAGAGAGACTGCAGAAGAACTTAGACAGCCTAGGCGATTGGGCAAAGAAGTGACAGGTGGAATACAGTGTTGTAAAGTGTGAGCATTTTGGTAGGAAGAATGGAGGTGTAGACTATTTTCTGAATTGTGAAATGCTTTGAAAATCTGAAGCACAAAGGGTCTTCGGAGTTATAGTTCAGAATTCTCAAGCTAAATGTGCAGATTCATTTGGCAGTTAGGAAGGCAAATGCAATGTTAGCCTCTGCAGTACATTTCTGCTCCTGTATTTTAGCCCTCTTGAAATGAATGCTATGTAAGGCTCTGGTCAGAGCGCATTTGGAATATTAAGCAGTTTGGGGGGTGTCCAGAGGAGATTTTCATCCTACATCCTGGGGATGATCAGCTTGTTTATATGAGAAGAGGTTGAGGACTCTGGGACTGCACTTGATGGGATTTAGAAGGATAACTGGGGATCTCCTTTTGAAGCTTACAGAATACTGACAGACCTGGATAGAATGGACGTGGAGAAGATGTTTCTACTAGTAGGAGAGACTAGAATGTGCGAGGACACAGCCTCAGTGAAAGGCTGACCCTTTAGAGCTGCGATGAGAGAAATTTCTTCAGCCAAAGGGTGGTTAATCTGTGGAACTCATTGGTGCAGAAGCCTGTAGAGGCCAAGTCATTGAGTGTGTTTAAGACAGCAATAGGTTCGTGATTAGTAAGGAGATCAAGGGATACGGGGCAGAAGGCAGGAGAATGGGCTTGAAAAACAGATCAACCAAGATTGAATGGCAGAGCAAACTCAATGGGCCGAATGGCCTAATTCTGCCTATTTGGGCCCTTGGCTGCTTGGGGGGGTGGTCGTTTAGTCCAAACGCAACTAAAAGCCAAGTTTTTTTTCCCCCCCCAAAGGGCCCGAGCAAACCTGAACAGACCTGTGAACACACTACAGGGTGTGGGGGGGACAGAAACTTGGCTTTTAGGTTCGTTTGGGCTAACAGCTGTGTTTTCCAAAGGGGTCTGTCGTGTGTCTGCAGGTCTGTTCAGGTCAGATTTCAAAAGACTTTCAGTTTTTAATTGTTTTTGTTTTGGTTTTCGGGCATGCAGTTAAAGGATACTGGACGTGTTATTTACTTCAGTCTATTTATATTGCATTCAAGTGGTTTATTGACTCAAGGACACACTTTCATACTCAGGAGGGAAATGATTATGAATGTGAATTGAAATTAGATTTGATGCAAATCTAAATCAGGGATGAGGTTGTCCAGATCAAGCTTAAGGTTTTGATTTTGATGACATTACATCTTGGCTGTACCAACAACATATGGTATAAATTAAGTTTGTGAAAAAGCCATGCAACATTTAATGATTCAGATAACTTGACACTCGTTTAATAATGTCAGAGTAAGTTTTACAAGATTGCTGCAAGTTCAAGCATTTGGACCAAATTCCCTGAGAAATTTCTCTTACTAAAAGGGATAAAGTTGGGTTGTCTGGCATCCTGCTCAGGGGTCTTTGTAAAATGGAACATTCTAAATTTGCTTTTTTTTTAAAAAATTGTGCGACATAGATTTTAAAAATGAGTTCTCAAGTGTTCCACCAAAACAATTACACTTTTATAAAAGCTTTGAGCAAATTGTTGTGGTATATCGTGAACATTGCCATTTCTGGAATAGTTTTATCCCGAGTAATGTTGCGGTCAGCTAGGAATGAATTGAATGCGTAACGTAATTTGGTAATTGGTATCAAGAGAGCTTTGTACATATCAGTTTGTAATTGGTGAATGTCAAAGAGGGCAAAGTTCAAACATTTGTGAAATGAAGTAATTCATAATTTAGATCCTTGTAGGTGTTATTCACTTTTTTAATGTGTCGATTTGCACATATACAGTATTAATAAGCTCAAACAATAACAAACTTGCACCTTGTTGGTAGCTCAGAGCTGATGCTTTTTTTTTGTACCTTAACATTTGATGGCACTGCTGAGTAAATAGTTGCTGTTATCTTGGAGACCTGGGATTTTTTTCTCTCAGGATGTAGTTTAGGATGCATGATTGCTGCACATGTCAAAATTAAAGTTTCTGTATCAGTGTGAGGTTTGTAGTTTTAAGCTTCCCTCTCCCAATATGGGCAAGGTCTGAAGACCCATGGCACCAGGTTATAGTCAAACAGGTTTATTTGAAATCACCAGCTTTCAGAGCGCTGCTCCTTTGTCATCTGATATTCTTCAAATATGGAAGCACTGGATTGATCAGGATTAATGCATATAGACAAATTCAGTCTTAATCTCCTTGAAAAATGTGTAGAATATTTATTAAGTTTAATGTGCCGATAAAAATTAGTGTTTTTTTTACTGTGACTTGATTTTGAATATATACTGGCGAAGTTTTCAACTTGCATTTTGAGAGACATGTTCTATGACTCGGCAGTTTTCCAAAGTTTCTATTGCATGAGACATTGCTGACCCTTTGAAAACCTAGTTAACACAAATAACTTAAAGTTATTTCCAATTACTGATTGCTGAGTGTGACTGACATCACTAAGCATAATCACAATAATGTATCGGAGCTACTAATTGTTATCTAAGTGAAATCTGTTGGTGTGTATGGTGTAGTCCCTGAATCATTTTAATCCAGTTTGAATTGTAATCTTACGTATGATTAGAGCACGAAAATATCTAAAAGGCTAACTTCCAGTTTTGAGTCCTTGCCAGTAAATAACTATTATATTTTGACAGCTGGACTGTAATGAAAGAGTAAGGGCACAATCAAATTTGTCAGTTGCCATTCTTTTCGTCTTGATGACTTATTTTCTCATCAGTCGTCATCCTACTTATTCCAATGACGATTGTTCATTGTTGACCTGTGGTTCTACTGCGCTAGTTGTCACACCCCAGTCAAGTCCCTATTGATTTTCTGTAAGCAACATAAATGAGGATCACAAAGATTACTTGACTATGGAAGGTGAGACAGCCAAGCCCAATCTTGTCTTCCAGTATCTTGTGTATTGTCTCAGCATATCCTCCAACTTTTATCACTGGATGACAAAGGTGATGAGCCATCGGGTATTGAAGCCAATTGCAGATCTTCCCATCAGTGGCCAAGATTTGTCAACTCTGCACATGCTAGATATGAACCTAACTGGTCCTCTCTGCCTTAAAGATTTGAACTATGGGAGAACTTGATTCTTTTCTTTTTTGTTTTTTTTCTTTTCATTTCAGCCTTTTCTTAAATTAGAAAGAGTCCTTGGATACTTTTGTCAAATTGTTTGTAACCTTATGATGTTGTTTATAGAAAGTGAGTTTGAGTTTGGGACTAGCTTCAGCATGATAAAATCAAGCTAGATGTTAGATTTTTCTGCCTTTTATGTGTTTCAACTGATTGTTAACTTAGTTATAGTGTATTGCTAGATAGCTTCATATTTCAACCTATTCTTATGACCAAATTAACTCATGGCATCCATCAACTACCAATTTTTTAATGTAAAAATTGATTAAAGGCACCAAGTATCAATAGGGGTTAGTGTTAATCTGCGAAAAGTGCTAGCTTTTATCACCTGTTCCTTTGTGTGTGTGAGAGAGAGAGAGAGGGAGTCTCAAGTGGTTACTGTACACTATTCAAAAAGATTTAAGGAATGTGGTAAAATAAGCTGTATGTTAATTATTCTTTACATGTGCAATTATTTTGCATTTTAGTAAGTGTATACTGTAAATGGCATGACCCAGAGTTTGGAAGAGATATTCCTTGCATGCTTGTTTTTCTTCAATAATGTGTATTTTACAGGAAAACAGCTCAATAAAAAGATATACTAACCAGACTTAAATCATTGTCTCTTTGCACCTTTTGTGTAATAAACAGAAAAATGTAAGTTATCCTAAGGAACCAATCTATAGCAATGTGGTAATAGTTTTAACTATTTTCTTCACTTCAGCCACCAATATCAGTTCCTCATCGAATTCAGTCCACTAGCCGGAATGTGAGAGAAGAAAGAACACGATCTGAGATTAACTGTAAGTTCCAAATATGCGATTGGAATATTGTAATAATAAATGGAAATGATCAATAACTCAACACCTTTTGGAAAATGTTTCAGATTTGCTATTAGTTTATTAATCTCAAGCTTCGGAACTACTTTATTTGTCCTTTTCCTTCCTTTTGTTTGTTCTTCTGTTCATTTTTTTTATTCATTCGTCAGATGTGGGCATCACTGGCTTGTCAGCGTTTGTTGCCTGTCCCTAGCTGTCATCTTTCTGTTCTTCCTGATTACATAAAAGACTAAATAATATTGGATGTAATTTTGCTGTAAAAATAACTTCGTGTTGATGTGTAAATTGGACTGTCATTTCTGATAGTTACATATGTGCAATTGGAAGTGCAAACCAACAATTGTTATCTGAATTGCCTTGCCCCTTCAGAACTATGCTATGTAGCTATTCTGGAATGATTTCAATTTGCTGTACTTGCATGATGTATACCTACTAATCCCCCAGGTAAACTAGAGCTTGTCCATTCCTAAGCAAGAAAATTATACAGTAGAAGTTTTCCTTACTAGAAATTAACTTCACTGCTGCAAAAAATGTATTTTTTTCAGTGTGGAGTCTGATTTCTTCAGGTACAATTTATAGGAGATGTCTAAACAAGATTTTAAAATAAAATTCCTACTTTGTCATTGAGTCATACAGCACGGAAACACACCCTTCGGTCCAACCAGACCATGCCAAACGTAATCCCCAACTACACTAGTCCTACCTGCCTGCTCCTGGCCCATAACCCTCCAGACTTTTCCTATTCATGTACTTATCCAAATGTCTTTTAAATGTTGTAATTGCATCCGCATCTACCACTTCCTCAGGAAATTCATTCACATGCGAACCGCCCTCTGTGTAAAAAAAAAAAAAAAAAAAAAAAAATTTGTCCCTTGTGTCTTTTTTTAAATCTCTCGCCTCTCACCGTAAAAATATGCCCCCGGTCTTGAAATCCCCTATCCTAGTTAAAAGACAATAAACATTAACTCTATCTATCCCTCTCATTATTTTGTGAACCTCTATTAGATCACCTCTGAGCCCCTCCCAGTCCCAGCCTATTTATCCTTTCTTTATAGCTCAAACCTTCCATACATGGCAACATCCTGGTAAATCTCTTCTGAGCCCTCTCCACCGTAATGATATTGTTCCTATAACTGGGCAACCAAAACTGGACACACTATTCCAGAAGAGGCCTCACCAATGTTCAGTACAACCTCAAAATGACTTCCCAACTCCCTTTCTCCAAAGGACTGAGCAGTGAAGGCAAGCGTGCCAAATGCCTTTTTAACCACCCTGTGTATATGCGATGCAAACTTCAAAGAATTATGTACCTGCTCCTGTAGGTCACTCTGCTCTCCAACACTACCCAAGGCCCTGCCATTAATTGTAAAAGCCCTACTCTTGTTTGTTGTACCAAAATGCAATACCTCGCATTTATCCAGATAGAACTCCATCTGCCATTTTTCAACCCATTGACCCGTTTGATCCAGATCCCTTTGTAATCTTAGAAAACCTTCTTCACTGTTTACTATGCCAATTTTGGTGTCGTCTGCAAACTTACTAACCATGCCTTCTATATTCTCATCCAAATCATTTATATAAATGACAAACAAAAGAGGACCCCGAACCGATCCCTGTAGAACACTGCTGGTGACAGGCCTCCGGTTCGAAAAGCAGCCCTCTACCACCACACTCTGACTCCTGCCGTTATCTTTTACCTCTTTCTCAATTTGTTTTTTTTCCTTTCCCTCTGACACCTTCTGTACCTGATTTGACACAATATTTAATTCAAGCTGCTATTACCTGATTCAGACTCTACTACTGTTTGAAAATTCTATTTGGTTAAGGACATAGACAGCTTTTTGCCCTGCTCTTTCAGGTCCCAGATCCCCTTTTGAATGTAGTATGCTATTTTGGCTTTCTAGAAGGATCTAGGCCCGAAACGTCAGCTTTCCTGCACCTCTGATGCTGCTTGCTCTGCTGTGTTCATCCAGCTGTACACCTTGTTATCTCTTACCCTATATGAAGCCATACATCTTGCTGCACTGTTTAGTGGGAATTTGCCACTGTACTTTCTGACTGTCTTGTGGTTCTGTTTTAACTAAGAATTTTCAATACAATTATTTGAAATGAGAATAGTGCAGAAAGGATGCATCTGCCATGTAATCTAAGTTTTGTCTCTGAGTTTAATATTGATGTTTTGTCAGTCTTTATTCATCACCATTCCATTATTCATACTATGATTAGTACAGATGTGCTACTTACCAGGTGAATATTATTTACATGAAAAGTGTTCCAAATTTGACACAGGGTAAGTAACACTAATATTCACCAGTCCTTTTTAGGATCAATGTTACTAGTGGCTCATGAAAACACTATTAGGATGTGAGACGCACGTGAACTAAACTGAGGCCAGTAATCATGTGTTTCATATACATGTAAGTCAGAAGCTTGTGTACCATATTTCTTCTGCTTTTACATGCCCAGTATTTCCTGCCCAAACAGGAGGCATCTTCCTAACAGTATAAGCAACACTTCAGGACATCGACCTACTTTAATTTTCCTTGAATACCAATGTATCAAATATCACAAATTGACAAAAACAAAATTCTGTGTCATACTTCAAAGAAGAAGAATTTAAATGAACAGATGCCCTCCCTAAATACATAGCAGACTTTTCCTGAGAAACACACAGTACTGATTGTATGCAATTTCTGTTCACTTCCTACAATCAAAATCTCCGCTGCCATCTTGGGGACGCTCCCTGCCATCTTGAGGATACGGGAATGGTATTCAAATCTTAAATGTACTTGTGCCTTAGAGAACTTGAGATTTGTTGTGACGTACAGAATCATTTAGCTGAAAGGGAGAAACCAATATTATGAAGACAGCATGATATTTTTTAAGTAAATAGTGTTTTCTAAAAAGGTTGGTTGCTGATGAATCCACGAAGGAACCATCAAAAATAAAGCAGGCATTAGCAAAACATAGTTGCTGTCACTTGGAACTGCAAGTTAATTAACAAAAAAAGTTTCTGAAAAATTGATGCAGGACTCTGTTAAAAGGCTTGATGTACCTTTTCAGCCTTTGCACTGTATTTTTAAAAAAATGAAGTTTATATTGAAAAAATGGAGAGAAAATTGACTGTGGAATAAATCAGTAGAATAAGGATGGATAAGGCTAAGTGAAGAGTGGACCAAGTCTTGAATGCCTAGAATTGTATGTGAAATTTAAGCAAAGGGGCCAACACCTGTTGTTAATTTCAAGAAGAAACCCAGTTCTCAGGATTACTTTCCGAATCTCAATTGCTTATGATTTGGATTTGAAGTATGTTCACCTTATTTGGTTTTTAACTAACATGGTCAGAAGACTAAATCTGAGAGTTTATCTTCAGGTATTTCAAGTATTGTTTTGTTCATCCACACCTCATCAGCAGGATTGAGAGTCCCGCATGTTGTGTTGCCTGCCCGGTGCCAGGGTAAGGGATATCTCTGACCGGCTTGAAAGGATATTGGAGCGGGAAGGGGAGAATCCAGTTGTTGTGGTCCATGCCGGAACAAACAACATAGGCAAGACTAGGAAAGAGGACCTGTTCAGAGATTATCAGGAGCTAGGAACCAAATTAAAGAGCAGGTCCTCAAGGGTTATAATCTCTGGATTACTGCCCGAGCCATGTGCTAATTGGCATAGGGACATGAGAATAAGGGAAGTAAACACGTGGCTAAAAGAGTGGTGCGGGAAAGACGGCTTCCCTTTCATGGGGCACTGGCATCAATATTGGAATAGGAGGGATCTGTATCGCTGGGGCGGTCTCCACCTGAATCGAGCTGGGACCAATGTTCTAGTGAAAAGGGTAAATAGGCTGGTCAACAGGACTTTAAACTAGAAAGTGGGGGGGAAGAAAATGGTGAAACTTGCTCCAGTGGGAAACAAAGTAGCAGGTTAACATCTGTAGTGGTGGATTCAACTTCGTGGAAAAATATGAAAGAAATGACAGGGAAGGAGAACTCAGGAGAGGTTATTAAAGTCTCCAGCACAAACACAAATAGAACAGGGCTAGCAATCAAACACTGGAAAAATGAATGAAAATGAGAAGAGAGAGGGTTAATACAGGACTGAAGGTATTATATCTGAATGCACGCAATATAAGGAATAAGGTAAATGAGCTTGTGGCACAGATCTAAACTGGCAGGTATGACGTGGTAGGCATTACTGAGACGTGGCTGCAAGGGGATCAGGATTGGGAACTGAATATCCAAGGATATACATCCTATCAAAAAGATAGGCAGGTGGGCCGAGGGGGTGGGGTTGCCTTATTAGCGAGAAATGAAATTAAATCAATAGGAAGAAACGAAGTAGGGTCAGATGGTGTAGAATCTGTGTGGGTAGAATTGAGGAACCGCAAAGGTAAAAATAACCATAGTTGGAGTTATGTACAGGCCTCCAAACAGTAGTCAGGAGCTGGGGTGTAAGATACATCAGGAGATAGAAAAGGTGTGTAAGAAAGGCAAAGTCACAGTGATTGTGGGGGATTTCAATATGCAGGTGGACTGGGAAAATCACGTTGGTAGTGGATTGCAAGAAAAGGAGTTTGTGGAATGTCTGTGAGATGGCTTTTTGGAGCAGCTCGTGGTGGAGCCCACAAGGGAACAGGCAATACTGGATTTAGTGTTGTGCAATGAGGCAGACTTGATAAGGGAGCTTAAGCTAAAAGAACCCTTAGGAGGCAGTGATCATAAGATGATAGAATTTACTCTGAAATTTGAGAGGGAAAAGATAGAATCAGAGGTAACAGTGTTACAGCTGAATAAAGATGACTACAGTGGTATGAGAGAGGAGCTGGGCAGAATTGACTGGAAGAGGAGCCTAGCAGGAAAGACAGTGGAACAGCAATGGCAGGAGTTTCTGGGAGTAATTCAGGAGATGCAGCAAAAATTTATCCCTAGGAAACAGAAGCATGGTACAGGGAGGATGAGGCAACCATGGCTGACTAAGGAAGTCAGGGATAGCATAAAAGGAAAGAGAAAGCATATAATGTGGCGAAGGGCAGTGGGAAACCAGAGGACTGGGAAGCTTACAAAGACCAACAGAGGGCAACAAAAAAAAAGAAATAAGGAGGGAGAAGATTAAATATGACGGTAAGCTCGCCAGTCATATAAATGAAGACTGTAAGAGTTTCTTTAGATATATAAAGGGCAAAAGAGAGGCAAAAGTGGACATTGGACCACTGGAAAATGACAGTGGAGAGATAGTAGTGAGGAACAAGGAAATGGCTGAGGAACTGAATAATTACTTCATGTCAGTCTTCACGGTGGAAGATACGAGTAATCTCCCAAAAATTCGAGAGTCGGAGGGCAGAGCTGAGTATGGTGGCCATCACCAAGGAAAAGGTGCTAGTAAAACTGATTGGCCTGAAGGTGGATAAATCACCTGGACCAGATGGACTACACCCCAGAGTTCTAAAGGAGATAGCGGAAGCGTTAGTGGTGATCTTTCAGGAATCACTCGAGTCAGGGAGGGTCCCAGAGGACTGGAAAATTGCTAACGTGACACCCCTCTTTAAAAAGGGAATAAGGCAAAAGATGGAAAATTATAGGCCGATTAGTCTAACTTCAGTCGTGGGCAAGATTTTGGAGTCCACTGTAAAGGATGAGATTTGTGAATATTTGGAAATGAATGGTAAAGTAGGGCAAAGCCAGCATGGTTTCATCAAGGGGAGGTCATGCCTGACAAATCTGCTAGAATTCTTTGAGGAAGTAACAAGCAGGGTAGATCAAGGAGAGCCAACGGATATTCTCTACCTGGACTTCAAGAAGGCCTTTGACAAGGTGCCGCACAGGAGGCTGTTGAGCAAGATAAGGGCCCATGGTGTTAGAGGCAGGGTGCTAGCATGAATAGAAGATTGGCTGTCTGACAGAAAGCAGACAGTGGGGATAAAAGGGTATTTCTCAGGTGACAAGTGGTATTCCACAAGGGTCAGAGCTGGGACCACAACTTTTCACTTTATACATTAATGATCTAGATGAAGGAACTGTGGGCCTTCTGGCTATGTTTGCAAATGATACAAAGATAGGTTGGGGGGGGGGGGAACAGGTAGTATTGAAGAGGTGGGGAGGCTGCAGAAGGATTTGGACAGGTTAGGAGAGTGGGCAAAGAAGTGGCAGATGGAGTACAACGTGGGAAAGTGTGAGGTCACTTTGGTAAGACGAATAGAAGCATGGACTATTTTCTAAATGGGGAGAAAATTCAGAAGTCTGAAGTGCAAAGAGACTTGGGAGTTCTAGTCCAGGATTCTCTCAAGGTAAACTTGCAGGTTGAGTCAGTGGTCAGGAAGGCAAATGCAACTTGGTGTTTATTTTGAGGGGACTTGAATATAAAAGCAGGGATGTACTCCTGAGGCTTTATAAGGCTCTGGTCAGGCCACATTTGGAGTATTGCGTGCAGTTTTGGGCCCCGTATCTCAGGAAGGATGTACTGGCCCTGGAGCGGGTTCAGAGGATGTTCACGAGAATGGTCCCAGGAATGGAAAGCTTAACATATGAGGAACGTTTGAGGGCTCTGGGACTATAAACATTGGAGTTTAGAAGGATGAGGGGGGATCTAATTGAAACTTATAGAATACTGAATGGCTTGGACAGAGTGGATGTTGGGAAGGTGCTTCCATTAGTAGGAGAGTCTTAGGACCCCGAGTGCACAGCCTTAGAGTAAAGGGAAGATCTTTTAGAACGGAGATAAGGAGAAACTTCTTCAGCCAGAGAGTGTTGAATCTATGGAATTCACTGCCACAGAAGGCTGTGGAGGCCAGGTCAGTAAGTACATTTAAGACTGAGATAGATAGGTTCTTGATTATCAAGGGGATCAAGGGTTACAGGGAGAAAGCGGGAGAATGGGGTTGAGGAACTTATCAGCCATGATTGAGTGGCCTAATTTCTGCTCCTATGTCTTATGGTCTTAAGGTCTAACAAAAAAATAGTCTTGCCTCCTGTCAGTTTGTTTTTGGTATCAAAATTATCGGTAAGTTCAGTACTGGGTTGTTAACAAACAAGGACGTAGATTAAATCCCTGATCCCATTATTTGTAGAATTCAAAAAGACAAATTAGATTCCATTTCTTTTATGTAATAGAATCCTGGGCTAGTTTACAAAGTTGAATATAGGGTATTGACATGGAGCAACTAGCATCCTTTTTGTCTTAACTCGACAGTTTCAAGTTGTATTCAGTAGTCAGAGTATTCTGTCTTGTTCTTTAGTTCTGTTCACTTCTATGTGAAGCATGTGCAAGAAAATTAAATTATCTGCCAGAGATATGGCTGTCTAAGTTTAGTTCAACTGCTACATATTTAGTCTTCCCCTGCATCCCTTCAGTTCCATTTCTTGACTTTATTCACCTGATGTCATTCTCTTTGCTGAAATTTTTGTTTCAGTTTGGTTTCTGTTATTTTCATGGAAAAACTAAAATTTGGTTTGAGTCTTTGATGACTTTGAATGCATTGAGGTTTGAGAAGACTCCCTAACCCAATCAACCAGGATGTAGTGGAATTAAGGCAGTATTCCGGAGCACGAGGGTTCTTGTGATGCAGTGGTAGTGTCCATACCTGATTACTAAAGATTACTAAAGAGAGTTTGTTCAATGTGCCATCCAAATATCGTAGGTGCTACTTGGGCTGTATTGAGTGTGAAGACTTTCCTAGCACTAAAATATTTGCATTTGTGCAGTGCTTTTCACAACAACTGGATATCTTGAAGCACTTTACAACCTATAAAGTGCTGCTGCTACATTGTCACTGTTGCAAAAATTTTGGAAATATGACAACCAGTATGTGCCAAGCAAGCTTATGATAATTATCTTCTATGATATTAGTTGAAGAATAAATTTTAGCAAGGACACCTGGAATAATTCTGCTTTTTAGAATTTTTAAAATTAACTTGAGATGTTATTACATACCTCTAGAGCAGGTGAGACTTGAACCTAGGCCTCCTGGCTCAGGGGTGGGAACAATGTCACTGCACCACAAGACCCTTCTTCTTTTAAATGTTGTTTGTATTTTTAATAAGTGTGTTCAGAGATGATGATGTACATCTCTGGGACAAATGGGGCTTGACCCCTGACGTCTTGGCTCAGAGGTTGAGTCCCTGCTCTCTGGAATACCCATTTTTCTAATCAACTTGTTCACATGTTATTACACACCTCTGGAGCAGGTGGGATTTGAACTCGGGCCTCACAGTCCAAGGGTAGGGATTGTGCCACAAGAGGGCCTCTGCTCTCTGGAATAGATATTTTCTAATCAACCTATTATTACATACCTCTGGACTAGAAGGGACTTGAACCCAGGACTCCTTGTTCAGAGGTAGGGACACTTCACTGCAACACAAGAACCCTCATGTTCTGGAGTACTGCCTTAGTTCTGTTACATCCTGGTTGATTGGTCTTTGGTTGAACATCACATATGAAGTACAGAATCTCTGGCAGTGAAGCTGTCCCTCAATGCTATATTGGAGTGTCAGCTACTAGATGATATAACTCTGTTGTACTTTGAGAAAAGAAGATATTTGATTCATAAATGTAGGACTATATTAAGGCTATAAATTAAACAGTCTACTGAAAGGAAATATTTTGCAGATAACTTGTGAATTTATAAGGTTATCAAAAACAGATATTAGAATGTCAGCCTGTTGCAAATGGCATGCATAGTTCAAATCAGATTATTTTGTACATGAGGCATAGCCCTTTTTGTTTTGAAATAACATGTACTGTGAGCTTTTTCTTTTTGAGTAACGGTCTTAACTTGTATTTATCTGCAGTTGGACAAATAAAATTTGATCCACCAATGCGGAAAGAAACAGAGCCTCATCATGAACTTGTAAGTAAGATATTCTTGCCTCATTTAGTTCGTTTTAAGAAAGTTCTATGCTTAAAACAGCTGGAAAATGGCAAGTTACCAGATTTACAACTAATTTTAAAAAGAGATCTTGATTGGGAGTAATTCTAACTTTTCTGAAACCCGTTGAAGGTTGCTTTCAGTTGCAAGTTCAAAATGGTGATTTAAGAATACTTGTTAAGCTGTGTGCTCCCCATATGTGTCAAGCAATACAAATTTATGCTAAATTTTGTTCTCTAGGTTTATTTCAAAGGTACAGTCCAGATAAAGGAAGTGCTTACTGCCTAATCCTGCTTACTGGGACATTCCTTGATGTTTACTTACAACTTGAAGAGATATTTCTACTTTCTAAATGATAGTCATGTTCAAAATATTATTCATTGTAATTTCTACAAAATTAGAAGTAAATGAGTGTTGTATAAGAAATATCTGGCTTTTTTTCCGCAAATGTAAATAATGCAAGTGTTTAGTTCTCAATATTATTTGTGGTAGAATAATTATGTTTGAGACCAACCAAATAGAAAATGCTTGCCCTTGCTTTGTTCTTGGGTTTATTATAAGTAACAGGTTTTCTGGTCTTTATCTGCTGAACAGCCCTACTGTGATGATTTTTTGGACATTTCAGAAGAGATTTACTACACAGCAAGACCTAATCTGGTATTTTTTTTTACATTTCAGTCTGTCGTTTTCAGGTGTCTTTCTTTTCTGTCAATCATTATCTCTTAAACCTTGACCCTGTTTTTCGTGATTCTTTCGTAGGATATGCAAGCAAATGAAAAACTGATTTAGTATTGTGCAATCCTTGGGCTTTATTGCACAATTGCTGGAATCTTTATAAACTAGATCATTAGAATTTGTATTTGGGAATGTCCAAATTCTTGCATTATCATGCTTATTTATTGTGTAATTTTAATACCGTAATTGATGATCTCTACTTCAGGGTATTGTTTTGCTATTTTCTTTTGGAGCAGCAACCAATCTACTTGTATACAGCTATTTTGCCAGCAGTGAACAAATAATATTTGTTGAAAGCATCCTTCACTGGCTTGTGGTTTCTATCTTTTTTGTTTTTACAAGACTGCATTATTGCTGAAAAAAGACATTTTTGTCAAAGCTTTTTGTCTTACTATCATCAGGACAATTCAGAAGACATACCAAAGTAATGGGAAAGCAACATTTATAATGCATGAAAAAAGAGTATTGTTTGGTTGACAATTGAACACTGGTAGAGGTTTTGTGATTGAGAAAACACCAGTTAATGGTGACTAATAATTAACTGCCAAGTTTTATTTAAATTTTAAACCAAACAGGTTGATTCTGGTAAAGGTATGGTCCTGATGAATGAGCCATAGAATGAATGTCACCTATTTTGTTGAAACAAAATGGGCGCAGTTTTTTTTTTGTATGTGTTCTTCCTGTCTGCAACGAACAGGACTCTTAAGTGTTTAATATATGTAGCTTACATTTCACATGTCATTCATACTGCAAACCTGACTGAATCTTAAGTTGGTTGTTAACTTAATTCTTTGTACAGTGATTATTTAGTAAATATTGTCTAATCATGGAATCACATCGTGTGTTGGACACTGTTTGAATTTCGCTAGAGTGGGCTATTTGCATATGTTCAGTGCCTTGCTAGTTGTGACCACCTAAGCGATGTTTTATACGGTACAATCATTGAATCATGGGTATGTAGGCGACACTTGCTAAACATCTCACCAGTTCTGAAATTCTAGATTTTCATGTATATGGTGAAAGATTCCTTTGCAGTTGCAAAGAAACCAATATAGGACTTGCATATTGAAAGCAAAACAGTGTCTGGATGCTCACTTGACATTTCTAGCCTACGCACTAATGTACAGTTAAGGAAGCAACAGACATTGCAGCACTATATCTAGACCTGCCACCATTGTGTGAATCAGTATTCGTTGAACTTACAAACTCCTGAAATTGTACAGTTGACATACACCTTGTATGTCTTTGTGAATGATGTTTCAGTGGGCTACTTGCTAGGCCCAGGTCTCTCAACTGTCTTTTATTGGGTTCTGTTAGAAACATGTCTTCGATGGAATGATGCCTAACTTAGCGTATCCCTGATATATAAATGATACATTTGCTATATTTGAATTCACACCTGTAAGTACGAATTTCTTTGCATGTCTTAAACTCACTCCTATCCTCAAATTTACCTTTAAAATGGAGCAGTCAAATGAGCTCTCGGAAATATGTTGGGGGGTTTTCTCTACTAATGTAAACCTACATTCACTGCTCAGTATGTGTTGGGATTCTTACAGTTCCGTACACTGCGAGACTACCTTTATCGTCAACCTTGTAAGTAAGAGTCTGAACCATTTGCTCACTGTGCAAGCTCGCTGCAGTAATAGGCTATGTCAAAACCATTCTCATGGGTAATGGCAATCTTGATCATATCATTTCTTGGTGTAAATGTGCAAACTGATGAATGGGCCTAAGGGCCACAACTTTCAGTCCTGAAAATGCCTAGTCTACTTCAGATTTAAGATATTGCAAAAGTTTGAGCAGTAGGTGAAGTGAGATTGACTATCCATGACATCAAGGCAGCATTAGATTGAGTATAGTATCAAGGAATCCTAGCAAAACTGGAGCCAGTTGGAGAGAGATAGTAGGAACTGCAGATGCTGGAGAATCTGAGCTAACGAGCCTCTGATGCTGCTTGGCCTGCTGACTTCATCCATCTCTACACCTTTTTATCTTGGAGCCAGTTGGAATTGGAAGGAAAATTCTCCAATGTTTGGATTTGTATTTAACACAGAGGATGATGATTGTGATTGTTGGATGCCAAACATCTCCATTCAGGGACATTACTACTGGAGTTTCTCAGGGTAGTGTCCTAGATCCATCCATATTCAGCTGCTTCATCAATGGGGATGTTTGCTGATAATTGCGCAATGTTCAAGCCCATCAGTGTCCATGTGCAGCAAGACTGGACAACATTATTGCTTGAGCTGATAAATGGCAAGTAACATTCATTCCACACAATTAGCGTTTCCAACAAGAAAGAATCTCACTATTGCACCATGACATTTAATGGTATTATCATTGCTGAATCTCTTTTGATATCCTTCATGTTACCATAGATCAGAAACTGAACTGGTCTGTCCATGTAAATCCTGTAGCTACAAGACCAGGTCAAAAGATAGGAATTCTGCAGCAAGTAACTCACCTTCTGTATCCCCAGTGCATGTTCACAATGTACAAGGCACAAGTCAGGAGTGTGATGGAATACATGCAGCTCCAACAACTTTCAACTTTGACATCATCCTTAACAAAACAGCTTGTTTGACACCCCACTGACCACTTTTATCATTCAGTCCCTTCATCAGTGCTTAGTGACAGTAGTATGTGCAATCTATAAGATGTACTGCAGTAATTTGCCAGGCTCGTGTGACAGCATTTTCCAAATCCACAAACCTACCACGTAGAAGGACTGGTCACAAATGCATAGGACCGCCAACTGCAAGTTCTCCTCCAAATCGCATTGCATTCTTGCTTGGAATGCTGTGTTCTTTCACTGTTGTAGGGCCAAACATCTGGACCTCCCTTTCTCATAGCACCATGGGTTTCACTGCAACTTGAGGGTTAGTGTTTCAGGAATGCAGCTCACTGTTACTTTCTCAGGAAATTAGGAATGGGCAATAGTGACACCCATATTCCATAATGGAATAAAAGAAGCAGCAAGCTATTTCATGCTGTTACTATGAAGTAGCAAAATGAATGTTTTCACTTAAAAGCAGTTACCGATCAGGAGCGAAAACCAATGTCCTGCCTGTCTCACAGATGTGGTATATGATTTCAGTACTGGTGTGATGCTAGGTTGTACATAAGACTGATGAATTATATCAAACAGCTTATCCCCTTGGTTGTTCACAGCAAGCAAGGTACTGTAAGTCTGTCCCTACTTCACACTCAACAGTATCAGTTGAGATTCTGTACCTAGACAGCAATTCCTAAATGATCCAGATTGAGAAGAATTACACTGAACCAAATTACATTTGTCAGCTGAGCCTGCAATAAGGTGCATTGCATAAATGTTCGTCTTTTTCATTCCTCTACTTACCAGTGTCTACTGGCCAATCAATCAGCACTGACCTCCCATACAGCATTACTGTTGTTTTCCAGTTTGCTTTGGCATTGCTTGCGACTTGTCCTGATGAACACAAAAATAAGATACAAAACTGTCTTTTATTTCTAAGCACTACTCGTGTTATGCTACCAAATGACTATTAGAATGTGCCATATTCATTAACCAAGAAAACAAAAATGCTGCATACATATACTGCCTTTGACATCCTAGAATGTCTGAAAATGCTTCATGGGACAAAACAAGATTTGACACCGAGCAATGTGGATATGTTAGGAAAGATGATCAAAAACTTGGAAAGAGGTATATTTTAAGGAGTGTGAGGTGAAAACATTTAAAAAGACAAGTTCAGAGCCATAGAGCCAGGGCTATTGAATACACAGCTGAGAATGGTGGAACAGATATAATCTGGGATGTACAAATGGTTGGAATGAGAGGATCTTGAGGGTTGGAGGTGAGGTGATAGAGGAATTTGAAAATGAGAATGAGCAGTTAAATATTCATTTGCTCTTGAAAGTGGAGGAAATAAAGGTCTGCGAGTACAAGGGTGAATGAGACTTGGTGTGTGCAGCTCAGGTTTGCATGGTGCATAAAATGAGAGGCCAACCAGAACATTGTTGAAATGATCATGGGTCGTAGTTTCAACAGCAGGTAAGCTAAAACAAGGGTAGATGGAGGTGTTGTTATGTAGCTGCAAATAGGTTTACTTGATAATTGAATAGATGTGTGGCAGGAAGATTTTTTTCAGGCCCAGATGCAACACTAAGTTTGCAAATGGTCTGGTTCAGCCTCCGGTGCTTCCAAGGGACAGAATTTGTCATGGTAAAATAGGGAGCTAATTTTCTTTTCTGGTGGTGTGTTTTGACGAAGAAATCTTAAAATAAGCAATAATTTAAACTAGACTTTAAAGTCATGTTAGTGTAATTGTTACATTGATATAGAAAATTGACATGAGAATTATTATCGACGTTTGGAGGTGCGCATAAATCTGAATACTGGCATATCTAAACCAGCATTAACTCTAGCTAACTGTAATTTAATATTGGTTTATTTACATTTAAGTCTTTGGATTTCACAAGTGTTTTGATATCGCTATAACTACTGATCAGCAGTACTACTGAGCAGAATATCAGCTGGTTGTATAACATCCACACCTGTTTAAGTTTACCTAAACATCTTGGAGTATGTTATGTATTTGGTCAAGACCTTGGACTGAATCATGGAGGGTCTCTCTCCTTAAGGCCTAGAGGGTTTTCTTATTACGTCTTATCAACCCACCGCATTAACTACCTACGCCACCTGTATGGTGCTGCTGTTTTTTAATTCTAGCTCTATTATACCAAGTACTGTACACAGAACAACTCACCACTGTGGAGATATCCAGGAATTGACCAGCATCCCTGATACCAGCGTAACCGTTAAAAGGTGGTTATGGACCTTGACAAACATCGTCATCCAGAGCTGCTCTGCATGGTTCCTATCATTTGGCCCAGACATTACAGAGGAAGGAAAATTGTCTCTCTGTATTGTGGGCTAGGACCTGAAGCTCCTACTTGACGGTGTAGTGGAGAGATAGGACGACATTTTCTCCCAGGACTGGCAATGGAGACTGCTAAATGAGAACCTGATCCGAGGTTGCCTCCAGATCAGTAGAGTCTCAATTGTCTGAGGTATGTCCAACAACATGTGAAAAGTTCAATGGCTTTCCCAACTCTGTTAGCATTAAAGTCTCACATCACTATATCTCTGTTTTGGAACCCTGCTCCAAGCGAGGTTCATGCTGTACCACTCTTACTATTGCCTGTGACATCTTCCCACACTTGCTGTCACTCACCTGAATCCCCAGCAGCGCCAACCTTTATTTCAAAGGGGTTGGAGTATAAGAGTGGGGCAGTCTTACTGCAGTTGTATATGGTGCTTGTGAGATCACATCTAAAGTACTGAACAATTTTGGTCTGTATTTAAGGAAAGATACCATGGCATTAGAGGCAATTTAGAAAAGGTTCACTTAATTGATTCTCAGTGTAGAGGGGTTGTCTAGTGAACAAAAGCTAAACAGGTTGGGACTTAGTGGAATTTAGAAGGATGAGAAGTGATCTCATTGAAATGTATATAATTCTTAAGGAGCTTGACAAGATAAATACTGAGAGAATGTTTCCCCTCATAGGAGAGTCTAATGCAAGGCGCATTGCCTCAGAATAAAAGGGTTCAAATTTAAGACTCAAATGAGGAGGAATTTCATCTGATGGTTGAGAAGTTTTGGAACTCCTTGTTGCAGAGCTGTGGAGGCAGAGTCCTTGTGTATATTTAAGGCTGAGATTAATAGTGACGACAGAAATGGACTTGAGGAATGTTGGATCAACCACAACCCTGTTGAATGGCAGAACAGGCTCAAGGGGCCAAAATGGTTTATTCCATCCCTATGTCTTTTGGTCTTATGGCTTAACTTTGCATGCCTTCCCCACTGCCTACTCTTTCACTTGGGACATTTCCCCATTTACACCAAACATATTCACTGTGCCAGCTTACTTTCATTTAAATTTTTTTTCTCTTTATTCATTCACCGGATAAGGGCGTCGCTGGCTTGGCCAGCATTTATTGCCCATCCCTAACTGCCCAGAGGGCAGTTATGAGTCAGCCACATTGCTCTGGGTCTGGAGTCACATGTAGGCTAAGGATGGCAGTTTTCTATCCTAAAGGACATTAGTGAACCAGATGGGTTTTTACTGACAATTAGCAATGGATTTATGGTCGTCATTAGACTCTTAATTACAGATATTTATTGAATTGAAATTCCATCATCTACCATGGTGGGATTTGAATCCAGATCCCCAGAACATTACCTGGGTCTCTGGATTAACAGTCTAGTGATAATACTGCTAGGCCATTGCCTCCCCTTTGTTTAGTTTCTCTGCCACTTCGCTATTCTCCATTTAAAAATTCTCCTGAATGCACTTGCAATGGACCCACATTTGTTTTTGCTATTCTTTTCCTTTTTACAATATGTATGTATGTTTCTAACTAGTTTACTCTCATTCTATTTCCTTCTAATCTTTTTCTCGGCCATTCTGCATTGTTAACTGCATGAGTCATCAAGTTTAAAACTAATCCTATTCGTTCAGCGTGGGAATATTTCCCAAATTGTTAAATATTTTGGGGGAAGGCTCATTGAAGTGTTATCAATTTTGGTGTCCAGTAGATAAATTTACAAGTCCTGCAACAAGTTTCCAAGAGCCACTGGTTAGTTTATGAAACAGTCAGTAGTTCTTCAGGTTTTAATGCAGAGACTGATCTGAAAACACTACAGTATGACCATACAAGGCTTCAGTGTTTCAGCTGGTGAAATAGAGCTGCCATTTGAGTCTTTCAATTGGCAAAAACCCAACTTCTTTGAAGTGGTTTCCATCTTAAAACCATCAAGACGAAAGCAATATAAATTGTTGAGTATATGTTTATCTAAAAAGCAAACCAAGTAAAAAGTAGAAAAATATGGTAAAAGATTACGATAAAAATATTGGCCTAATATTAGTGTTTGTTTCGTAGTCCATGTCAGTCAGCCAAAAGAGAGAAATATTTCTCTGGACCTAGCAACATTCAAGATTACCTGCAATATATTTGAGAAGTAGCAGTAATTCTAGAAATACAAAATTACCATTGGATGTTTGCTTTAAACACAGCATTTCCAAATGTAAAAATTGTATCTGAAAATGTACTAAAAGCGATGCGCCAAATGAGACTCTCAAATGGAGGTGGGATAACAAACTTCTTCAATACCATTTAGCACAGCTGGAACCATTTTTTTGGTTTTGAACCATGCTTATTTAGTGTTAAGATAGTTAGCAGTTGGGTGCATGAACACTTTGAAGTTGACTTTCTTTTGTTAAGTACGTAAATTTTCATGTTCGATAGCTCATCATTTTAGAGATGTTTTGATCACTATTTTTCATGACATGCTATTGGACAGCCTCCATTTAAGTGTACATCTAACATTGGTAAAATCACAGCTGCTTTCACTTTTATAAAACTATGATGAAAAGTTCACATCAGAAGACTTGTATTCTGAAAAGATGCCTCAAAACAAGTGGACAAGTATTAATTCAAATTTATACACAAATTTAGTTCAGCAAATGCAAATAGTTTGAGTGTTCTTCGCAAATGGTTATTTGCGGTCTTCCCAATATCCTTCATTTGTGGTCAGTACCAAGTTAGCAGTTTATTATGAACCAGCCAACACTTCCAGTTGTGTTTAGTACCGTTTTAGGAAATCACAAGACACAGGACCCATAAAAGTAATTGCAAACACTCAAACTCGTTTTCAGAATCAAGCTAGCCACTCACTCCAGTACATTACAACTCTCCCTGAAAGCACAGAATAAGGCCACAAACTTTCCAAACACCTTTTCCCCAATTTTTATTGATGAAAATTACACCAAGTGCATTACACAGAAGGTGAAGACAGTTTGTAAAATCTGAGCTACAGTGACACTATGCGGTACAAAGATCAAGTCTCAAAGTTTTCACTGCTGTTAAATTTTCAGTCTTTGACATCTGGTCATTTGAGCATGGATGTAGTTTTAAAAAGTAGGAAATAAAGGTAGAAATACAGGAAAATGTTCAGATCTGGCTCCATCTATGCAGACAATGAACATTTCAAAATGATAATCTTTCAGAGCTAAGAAGGTTAGAAATTAAAGGATTGAGTTTTAAAGTGGGTGAGGGTGGGAAAAGAACAAAAGGGAAGATCTGTGATAGAATGGAATATAGGAGAGAACATGTGACAAAACAGCTGTGCAGAATAGAGAGCATAGGTACAAGTAAAAAAAAGTCATGGAAGGTATAAATGCCAAAAAAATGGATAGCTGCTGTCTGAACGTAAAAACAAAAGTAGTACTGTGACATGCAAAGAAAAGGAAATAAAGTTGGGCAGGGATTACAGAGCTTTGCATTGGATTGGATAGATCATAAAGTGAGGTACTGTTCCTCAAACTTAAGTTGAGTTTCATTGGATCATTCATAACAGCAAGGGCAGTTTAAAAAAAAAACGTGATTGAATGTTCATGGTCACTTGCAGACAGTGTAATTATTTTTAATCAACGTGATCATACAATTCTCTGCGGCAGGTGGGATTGCATGTAGAATTTCTTGTCCAGAAATGGGGACACTGTTACAAGACTCTTAAATTGTTTTCATTCAAACTGTTAGAACATGTTATGACACACCGCTGGGGCACCTCTGAGACTTGAAACTGGACCTTCTGAATTTTCCAATTATGTGCTTGTTGATTCCCTTTTCAAAATAATTTTAAAAATGAAGTGTTGCTTAAGTTGCAAGTTTGCTTGTTTACTTCTCATTAAGTGCATCAGTGTGATTTCTATTAAGAGCTGCTGGGATGCACAGCACTGGCATCTTTACCGTCTGCCTTTCCTCTGAGACACGGAGCCTGGCTCCTGCACCACTTCCTCCTCCTCTGAGACACGAGCCTGGCATAGCTGAGGCACTTGATTTGTTGTGTTTTTATTTGCATTTCCCTTGCTGTTTTCTCTTATTTGGCTGTTTACGTTTTTTTGCTCTTCCAAAAGGGGAGACACATATTGGTCTGATGTCTCAACCAAAAGACTGTATCTTTGATACTGCAGCCCTCTCTTGGTACTGCACTGGTAGTATCAGTCAAACATTTATGCTGAATTCCGGAATATGATATGATCTTCAGTCTTGGGTGAGTGTGCTTACCCACTGAGTCATGACCAATACCAGTTCACAAGGCAGAGAATGTATCAATTGCCTCTACCTCTGCTACAGTAATCAGGAGGAGAGTTCCTTCGTTTGTAAGAGAATTGAAAAGAATGGATGGAATACTGGCACATGAAAGCACATTGTTGGTTAAGATTGAATTGCTACCAAGTAAATAATCATGATGAGGCAAGTGCATTTGGATGAAAGCTGTCTTTTGTTGCAGGATGTTGTGATTCAGACCTGTAACTAAACTACTATTATATGTGGTTGATTTTTTTCTTGAAATTCATTAACACGACTGGCCAAATATTAACTGTTTTACATAAATTGCAGAAAGTCAAATTTACTCTATTTACTAAGGGATTGTTTGAAAAATTCTAATAGTAAATTTGGGAATCACAGATTCTTTGCTTCAAACATCTCACAAATCTATCCTAACACTCTTCCATTTTATTGTGCTGAGGGTTTTTATATTTGCAGTAATTATAATTGATATGAATATATAGATTTGCAACATGTATTTGTTTTCTTTGAACTGCAGGATCTACAACTAGAATATGGACAAGGACCCCAGAGCAGTTATTTATTGGGTGGAAATAAGTAAGCATTTTACAGTTTGTTTTTGATTTTGCTGAAATGCATGCATTTTGCTAGTTTAATTTTAATTGATATTAAAAGTCACTCAAATGTTAAAATATAAAATATAAAAAAGTATGAGAGTATTCCCCTTATTCTTTAGATGTTAGTTCTGTGAATATCAAGGATTAAGTCACTTGCAAAGCATATATTTTCATTAAATCAGCAGAAAAATGCGAAATAATTAGCCAGCATTGTGTTGTCTGTGGTTAGGACACTGAAACAAACTTGCATTTAAAGTACCCAGAGTGCTTCACAGACAATAGGTTAGTTTTGAAGTAAAATCACTTGTATCCAATGCTGATCAATTTAAGCAGTGGATATGTTCCAAAAGCAGCTCATAATTAAATGGACAGTTTTATGTATCTTGAAAGGTCTGTTTGAAGGGGCATAGGTCAGGAAATCAAATCAACTTCTCTATTGTTTAAATAGTGTCCTTGGGATTTTCTGAAACCATTTGAAAAGGCAGGTGGGATTCATTTGATGTTGCATTCAAAAGATGGCACTGTAACAAAAGTTTTTGACTTGCTACATACATAGTTTATGTGCTGAAGTAGGGCTTAAACTTACAAGCTTCTGACATGGAATTGTAGCCTGAGATGACAAGGTGTAGAGCTGGATGAACAC